TCTGCTGTCGACGAGTGTCATTGTCTTTTTAATATTTCATTTATGCAGTGGTACCAAGGCCTCGTCAGACCTTCTGGTCTTTCGCCTTGGTACTGCAGACAAAATGTATTGTCTGAACAGACTGAAATAAAAAAAAAAGGATAGTGGGTAGACCTCGAGGCAGCTTGCTTCGAGGTATACCCACTATCCTTTAATCGGAGCCAATCAGTGTTCGACGTCTTTCTAACGCCGCCGCAAATCCTGTGCAAGGAGGAGACGACTTCCCCTCCGCATAGCTTTGCATCTACCCACTATTCATTGCTACCAGAGCTCGGCGCTCTGGCGTCTCCACGCGCTCTCGCCTCCTTCTCTCTCTCTCTTTCTCAGTTTCTGCCCGTGTAGGTTTGGCATTCCTTGGGTGTCACGAGTACGCACGTGGAGGAGTTCCGCCTGTCACCGGACGGACACTTGGGCTGCCGTTGACTATGCTCCGTTGCAGCTCACGTTCGGCCGCAGAAGACGCTACGAACCAGCGAAGCTAACCCGATGCAGCGCGATTGCCATGTGGCCTTTAAGAGAGGCGCAGCGGCACGGAAGGCGGGAAGTCACGCGATGAAGTTCACGCTGCTGGATTGGCTGGAGATGAATCGTAGTTAAAAAAACGCAGTGCAGGTGTTCCGCGTGTGCTTATATACACCACGATTGGTAAATTACGCGTGCGCCTAAAATAAATGTGACAATATGACGTGTCATTTCGACGGGTTTGCTGGATCCCCGAAAACAGTGATCGATAATCCGTTTCACGGAAAGTCCTTGCTCAGCCAACGCTATACAATCGTCATCGTGAAAAAACCCGAGACTGGGAGGAAATAATAGCAGTATCAACGAGCAAATAAACACACCCTAAAAAAATCTTTAAGACGATCTGTGTATGCGTTCGTTATTTTATTTGTTCCCCTTCAGTCTCGAGTATTTTCATTAAGGATGTAGTGCTCGCCGGCGAATTTTCACTCGCTACGATCGTTTCACGCGGCGCACATCGTCTTGGTGTGTTTGATTCCCCTAGCTAAACCAACCACGCAAAAAAAAAAACAACAACAACAACAACAAAAACAACAGGATTATGTTTAATTTACTGCGTGTGATTTACCTAGCCGGTGTGATAGCAAATGCACAAACGCAACGAGTGCCATGACAATGCAATTTTTGCGCCGATTGATTAGTTCCACCGGATTGTAGCGTGAGCTGCGCTAGCTAGTTACTGTTTCTTTTGAGCAAACATCTGCCAATCAGGACAGTTCAACCTACAAGAGAGGGCAAATACACGTACACATGTCACACAAAAACCTTATTACAGGCCTTCTCCTTTTTTATTTTTTATCTCAGCATCCGTCTATACTTCTGGCTAAACGGGAAGCGTCCGCATCTATTTTAATTCCAAGGCGTCGGCGCGTTCATTGCGTGCAAATGTGAAAAAAAAACAACAAAAAAACAAAAAAAAAAAAAACAGGCAAGAAAATAACGGTTGAAGTTAGGCAGATTAACAAACGTCTCTCTGCTAGAATTTTGTCGGTGCCTAATTTGATGAGTCCCCAAACAGTCCTGTTCGCCATCGCGAGCATCGATAACTAGGTAATGCACTCCTTTTAAATGCAGAGGACCAAATATATAAAAGAAAATTACAGTTTTAATCGAGAGATTTTGTTCTGTTCTACTACGAACCCGGAAAGATGAATCCTAATTAACTGATATTGCGCTTTTGTTCGCCTGTTCTCTTATTAGAACGGATTTGAGATTGAGCCTCTTAGCAGGCCCTGTAGCCTTACGAAATAACAGAGTTTAAAACCGGACCTCGGAGAAACCCTAATTTTCGCGCTCCTAGAGAAGGCAAGGTGATAACTAGTACGTACTGTCTTGTTCGCGCACTTTTACGCCATATGATATCAAGAAAACACTAAGCTCTTCTTAGCGTCGAAGCTAGAGGGCGAACGAGCACATTGCTTCAGAATACTCAGAATGTAATCAAACTGACTAATGCAAGTGCGACGAGCGGCAAGTGATAGCTTTTCACGTGCTTCCCGCACAAAAAAAGAAACAGGCAAAATTCTTTTTTCCTTTTTTTGTTATTTAGAAACGTAGGCTTAGAAGATGTTAATTTACTTTTGGAACACGGGATGTTTCGCGCATTTCTTCTTGAGTAGTCTGCAGGGATTCGGGGTGAATTGTTGTCCCTGACCTCATCTTGCCGCAAATCCTTTCGTTTAATTCTCATATCTGGCGCTCCTGAGTCGCTTGATCTTTGGTACTATTTACTCTAATTCGGTTTAGAAGGGTTGCATCTCAAAAGACTGCACACTGAACTCTTCGTCATGACAGCGAGCGGACGGTCTTTCGGCATACAGTGCCACGCAGGCCGAGTTCTGCCAAAGTTAATTATTCAAACTGTATAGCGCCCTCGGAGTTTATCATTTGGCTCTACTTAAAAATAGGTAAAACGTCTCTCCCATCCCCCCCCCTCCCTCCCCCCCAAAAAAAGAGAAAAAAAAAAGTTTTTAAGTGCGTAGGGTGATCCACACTCTAAAAAATGCCTGCGTGTCTACTTGCTCACAAAGCACTCGAATAGCCAACCTGTGCGGTCTACGAAATCAGCTCAGCATATGATGAGGCGGAACATCCTGTTTAGACCTCAAAGTCAAATCTGCGCTCTGGCATTACGCAATACAAACATGACGTTTTGCATTGCGTAATGCCACAGCTTTTCTTTTTAGGTCTGAACGGATGTTTCGCCTCATCATATGCTGAGCAGATTTCGTAGACCGCACAGGTTGGCTCTTCGAGTGCTTTGTGAGCAAGTAGACACGCAGGCATTTTTTAGAGTTTATACCCAGGTCGATCTATACATTATTTACCGGCCTAGTCGGCGCCGGTCTTGGAGGCTAAGCTGTTCCCCAGTTCATATATGTGAGAGCCACCAATGTGATGACTTGTGCTATTAGAATATATAATTTATTAAACTCAAGTTACATGGCCAAATTTAGAAAATCGGCCGATGTCGGCATCTTTTCCGGCCGCTGGTTCCAAATCATCTCGCCTATAGTCGGTGACAGGTTAGCAGTAAAGTGGAAGCTCCTCCCACCTCTTTCCACTTTAGTAGAGCGAACGGTGGGCGACCTTTTCTCCAGCGTTCTCTTTACTAAAGTGGAAAGAGGTGGGGGGAGCTTCCACTTTGGGGTCTTGTGTGCGTCCTCCTCTCCCGGCACCTCCTCGCAGCCCATCACTCTGTTGGCCGAAGAGAGAGCGGTGGTCCCGAACGGCAGGTCGGGTATCGGCCCCCGCTGCGCGCCATGTCTTCTGAGAACGCCGTCTGGGGGACGTGACGTTGGAGAGGAACGCGACCGCCGCTAGGGCTGTCGGCCGCATCACCACACATATTTCTCTCAATCTCACGACGTCATGTCATGTTTTGGATAATGGAGTGGCATTAGCCAGAACAATATTTTGTTCTATCATCGCTGGTGGCCGGTGCTTTGTGACCCCTTTGTCCCAACGCTCTTTGTATATGACTGTGGTTCAAACCTATGTCTGGCCTATCAACACAGTGCGCACATTGATCGTGCATAGCCACTGTGCTCTGTGCCATTTTGCTTTGTGCAGACTATGGAGTGGTTTAAACACAATGAAGTGCTTGTTCAATAACAGTGTGTTTTGTTCCGAGCAGCACAAGCTCGTATGCTTAACGTCTCTGGCAGAGTGCGACGTCACGTGTGGGGGGTCACGTGTGCGGCGTTACGTGATTCGTTTTTATGTGTTCATTGGCTCACTGGAGCCATGTGTCTTAAGCTTTTTCCGCAACCAGCCTGCTTTATATTTTCGCCACCTCATCTGAGATTTTAAATAGCCAACTGGGGATCTGTTGGCCGGCATTGGGACACAAATTTATCATAACAGTTAAAAAAATAGATTGGAATGAATTTTTTAACAATATTCTTATAACTAAAAACAGAGAGCAATTGATAAGGCCCGGTTTTTTACTATAACGATGCAGCGATATTTGCTCTAAAAGTAGATAATTGCCGGCGGAGATTTGTAACACAACTAAGAACTAACACTAATCGACAAAATGCTTTTGGTTGGTTATTCTAACTGGAGTTTCAGGTTTTATAAGTGATAGTATTCAGCGTATTTGTGCCCGTATACATCGGCCAATTAAGTTTCTAGTAATGAAACCCACGTATCTTTTTTTTTTTTTTTTTTTCAATAATCCTGATTAATTTCTGCGTGCTACGGACACATCAATAAAGGCGACTTGCGGAACGACGTCAGCGAACGAAAATGCTTGGGCAACAGTTTTTCTTCAAATCAGCAAGATTCCCCGGGATTCCAAGCACGTAAATCTCACTCTTTATGTCCATGCGCAGCTTGCTGTTTTACTGCAGGTGCTCTCCGATTCACTGGTCTCCACCCGCAAATAAGGATAATTGTGCGTGCACCACTGGAAATTAGGCGCGCACCTGCTTTGATCAAAGGGGTGGGGCATAGTATGCGCCAAGAAATGTGGTGTTTATAAGGTACGCCATTTTGTTTTCTAATGAAGAAAGAATTTTAACAATAGAAAAAGGAGTCATTGGATTTGGGGCCTGTTAAAACCTGGATTAAAAGTGGATTAAACCGGGATTAGATCTGGACTAAGCCCGGTGTAAACCCAGATTAATCCGAGTTCAGGCTGGTCCTTAAGACAGTTGTTCGGGCGGAAATAATCGCTTCAAATTGGTGCGCGCCCAAGCATAAATACACTTGGGCTCTGTCAACGGGTTTGTCATTGTCACTGACAGTCAAAGAAACGCAGAGCGAGGCAAGTTGATCTTACGATTGCTCCGCAGCAAATCTCATTGCAGCATCGGCTGATAAAAAAAAAAAGCCAAAGAATGAACAAAGAGGTTATTAAAGCTTGATCAACGATAGGCTTTTCTCTGCCTTTCTTTACCTGTGAGTGACGACAACCCGTCGAAGCAGGTACTCACCCTCCTCCGCGGAGCCTCCGCATGTGCTCCTTTCTGCGCAGGCGCAGAGCCCTGTAGCGCAGCGCGCAGATGACCGCGAAGGCCACGATGGGGAAGCAGATGACCGACGACAGGATCGGGATCAGCACGGGACGGGCGTCCAGGGACACTGGGCCACATGTGGATGGGCGAAGCACAACGGACAGTTCGCCGAGGGTCGGACACCGGGGCTGCTCGCGCACGCGTCACTCCGCGCACTCACCCCCACATTCGCTCGTTGCGCAAGAGGCACGATAGAACTTCTTAAACCGGAGTCGCACCGCTCATACATTATAAAAAGACAGTCTGCAAGCACGAGTCACGGGAGCATCCGTGGTTCGAATGCCGCGTGCCAAGTTTCCTCCTTGAATACATTGTCGTACGGCGTTCTAAGCACGGATTTGGCGGTGACTCGCGCTCGAACCTGTATGCAGACTGTGTTTTGTATGATGGATAAGCAGTGTGACCCCGGCTTTACGTTTTATGACTACCTAACTACAAAGAGGCTCGTCTATGCGGAGCCCAAGTTCGTCTGCTTCTTGCACAGGCGTCGCGGTGATGTCAAAACGCCGAACTCTTTTTGGCTAATTGAAGAAAAAAAAAAAAAAGTCTGTAGACCTGAAGGCATCTAACGTTGAGATATATGCCCACTATTTTTTCAATCAAAGCCAATGAGAGCTCGGCGTTGTTCTGACGTCACCGTAACTCCTGCCCAAGCAGACGACTTGCTCTCAGCATACCCTGCTTCACTTTAGGTGCTATACGACCCGTTGGAGCCAGTCGAAGCAGCGCCAAAAACGTGTCGCCAGAAAGTGCAGTTGTGAAGCTACGAATATCATTTTGATGAGCCTCACCCTGTGGTTGTTAGCGGGAGGGAAAAAAATAAAGAAAAAATACTGGTTAAAAACAACCAATGAGCGATGAATCCCTCGCGTATATTGTTTGATTTAAAGGCCTCGAATCAACTGTGTCTACAGTCTACCTCGTTACGTTTGAAGAACGTCGGTTCTAAGATGGCGTCTGGTGCAGTACGACTGCTTGCCTTGGGTCTTCCTTCTCCATCATGCACTAACGACTACGCGGCCTTAAGTAACTACGATGAATTCCCATGATTCTAAGGAGAAACGCATCTAAAGCGCCATTTGACATACGTACGTGTTTATGCAATTGAGAGATCGCTAGTAAGAATTAATCTGTTGTGAAGTCTAAGGCTGGCAGTGCACTGTTCGGTGGTAGACATTTAGGGTGACGACATCTTCCCAAATAAAATTCCCAAGTTTTTTTTTCTCTTCTCTTTTTCTACATTCAATTACTAGCTTTTTCGCCATCGGCACTTTATTTGTGTCGTCATAGTTTTCCTCCCTTTGTATGGTTTTTATGTCTCCCAACTTAATATATTGCAATTTAAGTCATCCTTATACATGCTTATACATCCTTATACTACTAGCCCAGCTCACCACCCTTCTAAGTCATCCATGTTGTCATCATTATGAGCCGTAATTGTTGTTGACAATTGGCCTCATAAGTGTGACGTTGCTACTCCAAACAAACCGTTGCTAGGGGCGTTGCTATGGGCGAATACATAAAACTGGATTTCACTCCAAAAGAACCAACATTTAAAAGTTTTATCTGAAATTTCAACGCCTAAAAATAAAACAAAAAGATATAAGACGTATAGGTAACAAACATACCACGACAGAAGTTTTGCCGCGAAGCGATTGTCTCTGAAATATTTTCGACGGCAACTTCCGGTTCTCGAAACATCTCTCTCTGAATGACTAAAGTATGCTGTCTCAACAGTTTGAATCGTTTGCATAATGAAACGATATTGATGTTGTATTTAATGGAAACATGGCAGGTCCAAGAAAAGTCCTCGGGTTTATAAAAACGAATTGTACATGCGTACGATACGGTATATACTGTCTGACGAAAATCAGCACACGTATGGAGATCTGCTAAAAATACGAGAGAAGCCTCTCTTTAAAACAAAATATCAAATCAGCGTCAGGCGCTCTTGTTGATTTTACAGTTGACGTGCATTGCAATAAAGTAAAAATTATTGTGACTCTAACATAATCGGTTCGAGACCCGAAACTTCGTTGTTCAGGCTCGCAATATGGGTGTGTGTTTAGTTCGTAGCTATGACAGTGAGAGAAAATCCTGCTGATTCTTCCGTTTTCTGTGAGACCCGAAACAGCGAAAAAGCTTGATAAAAACATCGGGTAAGTTATATGTCTGGTACAGACAGTCCATTTGAACACACGGCGTTGATACACTTCAGATCGTCGTCGCACGTTATTAGGCTTCACGGTGTTTTCCCCCTTTTCAAATGTTGCGAAAGCCTCCATGGACAGGCGTTCGCACGCGCGCGTGTACCTTGGGGGTCGATGGAAACTGTACACGGGAACTCTTCGCTTCCAAAATCCCACAAAAAGTTGACCCCGAGAATAGAAGTTTAGTCGTTCGTCACCAACTTAATTTATCGCGGTCCCGTATTTCCTCAGAAAGAACCAGTGAACCCACAAAGCCACCGTGTCGTCTGCTAGCAAGGAAAAACTGTTGTGAAACTATTAGCTTTTATCATCGCTTTATGGTACTGATACGATAGAAAAAAGTCTTCATGAATAGACATTAACAAGAAACTATGCTCACAAAAAATTATTTACTTTTTTTTTATCAGCCAATTTTTAACTTCACGTCCAGCCTCCATGCATATGTACTCAACAACGGCCCTATATTTCGTTTCACCTTCCGTCCAGACGCAGCCGACGCTACGAGCTGATGGGACGAATCAGACAGCATCAAAAGGTCACCATCATGTTGTTCGTCATGTCTTTGTATGTGTTCTTTCATCGCTGAACCAATTATAAACAAAACAGGCCTACACTCTAAAAACGCCCGTGCGTCTGCTTTCCCGCACAACACTCGGAGAGCCAATCACCACAACTTACCGAGGCAGCTCAGCGAATGACGATGCCGAAACATATGTTTAGTCCAAAAAACGCAGTCTGAGTTGTGACATTAAGCAATGCAAGCGTCACGCTTGCATTGCTTAATGTCACAACTCAGACTGCGTTTTTTGGTCTAAACATATGTTTCGGCATTGTCATTCGCTGAGCTGCCTCGGTAAGTTATGGTGATTGGCTCTCCGAGTGTTGTGCGGGAAAGCAGACGCACGGGCGTTTTTTAGAGCGTAGTGATTTGCACTTTTGACGCTGCTTGATCGGTCCCGTTTCCTGCGTCTGTACGTAAGGTGAAACGAAGTATAGCTACGGTTCGTTTGGAGCACAGGGCCATGTTTTGACATCATCACTTCCGGGATCAATAAGAATGACGATGCTGGCGAGTGCTACACTGTGACACCTGTCACAGGAACTCGAGTCACAAGGCCGCGGAACAGTGATATTCGGACCCCTGTTTCAAGTCATTTCGAAGGTTTTGTAATTGGAAACATGCATGGAGTCGGCAAATTAGCTCGCGATCCCGACTCTGCAAGTTCTCCTTGGCATGTGTCGGTTCGACGACTATAAGATTCACATGTTATGATTAGCAGCAGCTGTGGGTAAAACAACTTATCGGCTGCCAAGAAACAACATTTCCGAGTCCAGAGGTCCTTTCGACCGAGATTGGTTTTCTCGACTCTTGTTCAGCGAGTCAAAAGAAACAGTATTGAACCTTTTGACTCGTTTGACATCTTGACCCGGCTTGTTGGATTTCTTGACTCGTTGGACTCGTTGACCCATATTGGACATTTTGACAATAAGCGCCTCGCAAAAAGGGATATTAGTTTCTTACTCAAAAACGCCGAAACGAAGAACATATGTAACGTCCTCGTGGCGGCATACCCCATATCTACGAGACGGGTACACCGAGACACGGCCCTTCTCGGGGCACATGGTGACAGGCAGCTCGGACCGGCGGTCGAGTCGGTCGAGAGATGGTCCCCGCACGAATCGATCCGTACTGCAGAGTGCGGCGCAAACATCCGAGTGGGTGGCCACGCTTGGGCGGTAGCGATCAGAGCCGCTTTTGTAGAACCGCCCTGTCGACACGACGCCACTGCGACGTGTTCGACATTCGGACAAAGGCGTCCTTTGTTTGCTCCGGTGTCGCCACGTGGTTCTGTTTTGTCGATGTAGAAGCTCTAGTTCTATTTCCCCTCGCTAAGACAAATCGGACAGGCTTAGGCTGTACTCCTCGAGTCGAACAACAGCAAGAGCGATGAGTTTTTGCTGGAAGCGGCGAGCATACTGTCTATAAAAAGACATGTAAAAGAAAGACCGCCACCCTCTGTAATACTAGGGTCCATATCACAAGAGCGAATGACATTTTAGCGAACGGCGACATTTGAGCGAATGGTCGTTTTAGCGAATAACGGGGGCGCGCGTTAACCCATCCGTCGCGCTGCGCTTTACGCCGCTTCGCGGCGACAGTCTTTGGCAACTCATTACAAAAATGTGAACCCATTTGGCCCACCCGGAAACGCCGCTTCGCGGCGTCCGACTATTCGCTAAAGTGTCGTTCGATGAAACGTGGGCGTTCGCTAAAACGTCATTCGATCAAGTGAGTGCCTCCCGTAATACTACTATTTTTTTTCGTATGTTCCTGAAATGTACATAGGGCGAGCGGCATAACGAATGCTGCGTGTATCATCATGTTGGTTTGTTATAGCGGGCAGGGTCTACCAATACGGATACTTTTTTTTTATTTTATTTCAAAGGAATATTTTGTTTAACGGATGAATGAATTTAGATGTAGGCTATGAGGCCTGTTGTGTGGATATGCTAAATCAGTGAATTGCAGAAGCGACATTCACATGGAATCGAGTTACTTCATCATGTCTGATTGATTTCACGCATCAGTTTTTTAATTCGCGCAATATTACTGAAAGGCACACGTCATTCTTTCGTAGTTCTGTTATTATTTATTCGCAGGTTGTCCGGATCCAGTGAAAGGAGAAAAAAAAAGCAGAAATTGCGTCGTTTGTCTCTAAACAAATCGAATATGACACATTCGTATTACAAACATCTTTCTGAAATGATATCCGATGCCTTCGCGGTGACAGAAGAGCGAGCAAACAGTAAAACCTTCAAGTGTCCGCCTCCTGAACGATCTTCTTAATGATACTAC